ACCGAGGGATGCACAACCTGTGTTCCTTGAATAAATACCCTTCATGAACCAAGAAACCGTCGGTAGGCTCTTTAGCATTAATTTTTACCCATATGTCAGCAAAATCTTCATCCGAGGCATAGAGATCTTTAAGAAGTTCGAACCCCACAATCTCTTGCCTAATTGTAATCAACAAGTCTGCTTTCCTACTCAAAGCATCCGCTACTGTGTTACAAGTACCTGATTTGTGCTTAATGAAATAATGGAAAACACCAAAATAAGTTGACCAACGCGCATGCATCTTGCTCACTTTCTTCTGAGTTTAAAAATGAGTTAAAGCCTGACGATCAGTGTAAATAATGAACTCACACCCCAACAAATAATGTTTCCAAGTTTTGAAGGATTGGAAAACTGCATACAATTCTTACTCATAAGTAGACCATTTCTGTCTAGTTTTATTCAAATTTTCGCTAAAGAATGCTATAGGCTTTCAGGATTGTGATAGCACACTACCAATTCCAATCTCACAAGCATCACAATCAACCTCAAACAATTTATCAAAATCAGGTAAAACAAGAGTAGGGGCGGAAGTAAGCTTATCTTTGATTTCTTCGAAGCTCTTATTTGCAGCTTTAGTCCATACAAATTGACGAACTCTCTCCTTCTTCAAACAATCGGTGATGGGAGCGACGATGATGCTGAAGTTTCTAATGAACCGCCTATAGAAAGTAGTGAGACCATGAAAGCTGCAAACTTTAGTGATGTTCTTGGGAATAGGCCAATTTCGAATGACCTCAATCTTTCTGTCATCAACATGAATTCCTTCGGAGCTAACAATATAACCAAGAAACAGAATCCACTCAGTCATAAAATTGCACTTCTTAAGGTTGATGTACAACTCATTTTTCTGTAAAGCATCCGAAACCTATCGAAGGTGCTGAAGGTGTTCTTCCTCGCTGCGACTGAAATTTGCTAAAGCATCCGAATTCCTATCGAGGTGCTGAAAAGGTGTTTCTCTTCCTCTCGACTGACATAAGGATCGTCATTCAAAATTAGGGCAACACAAATCTTTTGAAGCAAGAAAGGCGTCTGCAAAACCTAAGTGATAAGTCGTCAATGAATGTGCTCCGCTGCAGTAGTCAACCAAACCGCATAACCAACCAATAATAATAATTCCTTCCTTTCCTTTGCGTCTTTGTAAGGCAGTCTTCCATTTCATCTCCCTCTTTGATTTGAATTTGATATACCCTCAAACATAGAAAATACTAAGATCTCCTGACAGTTGGATACAACACACATGTCCTTCAGATTGAGGCAATAGGGAACGATTCTGCACCGTGATCTTATTCGGTCGTGCAATCCACCACACATTCTCCAGGTCCCCATCCTTCTTTGGGTTTACCCAATAAAGCCAAAAGACTTCCACAAGGACTAATTGTTTTCCTGAATATGCCCTTTTTTCAATAATTTCTTCTACCTGTTCCTTAAGAATGCGCGTGCTCTCCTTGGATTCATCTTATAATAAGGCAGCTTCGCTATCTTCTGACTCCCAGTGAAATTCAATCTCCATGTTGGATTGTCCCGCAAATGGTAGCAGTGTTAGATGGTTCTCAACTTATGGCCTGAACCCATCTTAGCAAACTCCTTGACTGGTCGGGATGTGAGCGGTACTAGTCCTCCCTTTCATTAGAGGCCTTTCTCTGGTTTTTGTATCAGCATGCCACCTCGCACCCTCTGAACTTAATTGTTCCTGCACATTGTAAAAACAGCTACTATGAATTTTCCCCTCCACTTTAGAAAGCTTTGGACAAGAAAGATCCAGAAGGTTCAAGGACAATGATTTTCTTATTTTTTCCCAATTGAAGCAAGTTTATGAATTCTCTTTTCTTCTTGCCTGGAATTGCATCAACATCCAAAACTGCCAATGGACATTCCCTAACAGTACTCCAAAGGCATCTTTCCAACAAACATCACAAACTAACGGAAGTCTGAGCTATGCTTTTCCAGTTGATATAGGAAAACCTTGCCAAATCCGTTTACTTCAATTGTTAGACCCTCTTTAAATCCACCTTTACCTTTATACGGCGAAGGATATTGATTTCTTTGTGGTGTGTAATAATTTCAGTTTTTCAACAAACTGGTCTTATTCTCTTCTTCATCTTTTCTACCAACTACAATTGTTCGACCTATCAGTGCGAGTCACCACTTCACCAACTCAAACATTTAGCTTACATATTTTTTCCTTTCTGCTTGATGATCGACTTTCCTTTTTGGAGAACATTAAAAATTTTCTGAACAACGATACCCTTGTACGGGAGAACGTGTGGTACACTCTGTGGGTAAATTTAGTTTTTTCAACCAACTGGTTTAAGCTAATCAAATTTTACATAAACTGAACTCGTTGATTAATGTTCACTGGGGGAACACGCTGTGTCACCAACCCGACATTTAGCTTAGGAATTTTCTTCCTTTGGTTGTCATTTTCCTGTTCGTTTGGAGAACCACAATTTTTCTAAACAACATATGTAACCTTCTCCATATTCAAAACTAGCCATTGGAATCCATCATTCTTCATTCTTACCTCTTCAACTCACTCACTTCATCAACTACATTCACCCATGTCGACGCCCTCATTGCCCCCTACGTTCTGGAACATATTATTAATGTATCTGCCTTGTTTTCAAACAACGGAAACCAAATATTCTTTTCTGATACGGATTTGAATCTTCATTGTCTTCTGTCTGCCATGGGAGGCCTTTCCCTGGAGTCTTTTCTTTTCTTCTATGTGACCTCTGTGAACTCTGGTTTAATTTGGCAGGAGTGGCTGCTCTTGAGTTCCTGTCCCACAAATATATACATAAGACTACTGATTTCTGGGAATAAGGTTTCCTGAAATTGGTTACAATATATGATTGTCGAGGCTGCCCAATTAATTCTTATTCTTACCGCACATTTGGCATCCTCAATTGCATCTGCCACAGTTGAAAATCGGTAAGCTTACACCGCATACATACTACATTGCGTGGGGTGTGATTCAATCCATCAACACATACTGATAATGAGCCACTTGCTGCGGATTCAGTCTCACAACTTGTCACATCGAGCCTGTGAATACTCAAAAATTCTTAACAATAGATACTCACTACTTTCGATTCCTTGGGTATGATCATGAATTCCCTTCTCACATCAACTGTTTCATAAAACCCAGGTCTCGCATAGGTTCAATACCTTCGACGATGGGCGTCTCTCTCAATAGAATGCCACCATTGCAATCGCCTTTCAAGTATTATTAGGCCACGTGAAAACTTTAACTTTTCATCCTTGACAGTCATGATCTCAAAGTTCAAAAACCTGCCGCTAGTCAAGTCAAGGATGCTTTCCATATTCTAAAAACAATCTGAGAAGGTTTTGAAGACATCTACCTTTATCTTGTATCGTCATGGAAATTGTCACCATTCCCTCTGTAATCTCGGCTCATTCATAACGATTTTGCGCTTCTTGCATCTAATTCTGGTTGCTTGTGGATTCGGAGCATGCTGTGATGGCAGCCGCAGGGTGTGACAGGTTGCCTTCATCTGGGATTGCGATGGTAACCGCCATATCTATTTTCTCGGCGTTAACTCTTCAGAACCACTCTCGATTGGCTTGAGTCCGTTGATCTCATGATTGTCGGCCATGGAGAATACTTCGCCATTTTTGACTTTTCAAGACTACACACTGATCGCAGAATTGGTTACGTGATTGGATAATCAAACGATTATACTGCGCATCAGGATTTGATAAAATGAACATTTGAATCTAAATTAGAGAATTAAAACTCGTGCGAGGAAGTTTATTAAAATATTGAATATCTGCATCAAAAAGATAATGCTTGTGCTCAATACATCCCAAAATAACTCTATTTATAGGGTTAGGCTAAAGCATAAAACCCTAAAATAAATTAATACAAAAAGTCAAAACTAGACAAAACCCTTATAAGCGTGGTGGCACCTGGCATGCTTTGACTATGACACGGGCTTAGCTCCTGGGCTTTCCAGAAGGTACTGGCACGGGGCATGCTGCTACATGGCACGGGCTTGCCTCTGACTCCCAGAGGCTAGCACGGGCTGGTTGGAAAGTGACACGGGCTTGTATGTGTTTCTTAAACTTGCGTGTGTCTCGCGTCCTTAGAGAGATTCCAGGCTGGCACAAGCGTGCTGAATTGGACACGGCCATTGCCCCTTCTTCTTGCGTTCTTGCAAGCTAATCCACGATTCTCTTGTACTATTCAGTTTGGAAATGCAAAGTTGCTCTGCATCAAACTCTACTGCATTACAATAAATAAATAAACCAAATTTCATGGCTGGTTTGATTTGATTATTTTCTTTTCACATCTGATGAACTTGATAAATATAAAACACTTGCTCGCTAATTTATTCCCATTTCCTACTCTATAGCTATGGCGTCCAGGTTTTTCTACGAGATTTGTCTTCCTTTTATAGCTATGTGTCTGTAGAATGCACAAATGTTTGAACAAGCACTTTGTTTCAAAGCAGCGTGTGCTGTGCGAATCAGTGGATGAGTTATTATGTATCATAGTTCTCTCTTTTGCAACTCTTTGTTCTTGCTACCTGTTCCCTTCATTTTTTACATCTTAATAGTTATTTCTGTTTCTCCTTAATCTTCCTTTAACTATATCACAGATCTATAGTGAAAACAGTAGTTTTATTTCTCATTATGCTATTCATTGGCGAATACAGAGCGCAGCAGCAAATCATATAAGTTGCCTCTTACTACATATTAGTTATGTGGTTCTTCGCTTATTGCGAGAGAAAGATAATAGATCATTCATAAATTCAATCTGCCTTTTTTCATTTTTTCTTGCTTATCATTGATTTTCCTTTTCTTTTTTTTTATTTAATTTTTGTTTTCTTGGAGGAATTTATGCAGGTCTTTAGGTCAGATCAGTTGGAACTAACGGTTTAGGAATTAACAGTTCCTCCAACTCTTTCCTCAGCCATGGAGCAACCTAAACTTCCAGCTTTTACCTTTGCCTTTGGCAGTTTTGTTCAGGTGTGTGTGTGTGTTGTGCGTTTTGTGTGTGATGTCTCCAATCCTTAACCTCAAGTCTAATTCATTTTTTTCTTGGAGGCTAATCATTAAAAGATCCCATCGTTGATTTTGCCCTTTATTGCGTTTAAATTTAGGGGAATTTTTACCCCAAATTCAAAAAGCCAAATGTTCCTAAAAAAACCCAAAAAAAAAATTGTATTTTGCTTTTTTTAAAAAATTTTTTTTTAAAAGTAAAAAATTAAATCACTTTATTAAAACAACCCCCCTTCCCTCCCCTCTTTGGTTTTTGGTTTTTTAAAAAAAACAGGGGATGGAGATTCTCTCTCCCTT